GCCGCGTCTTGAAGCTTTCCAGCGCCAGGGCTTGGCCCTGGGCACCGCGTGCGGGGTCTGTGCGCCCGGGGGGGCCCTGCCCGGACCCCCTCACCCACCCCGGCTGCCCCGCAGCTCGCGCACACGGCCCGCGACGCGGCGGAGCAAAGGGCTTCTGGGCCGCGGTGGCGGACAGACGTTTATTAGAGAAAGGCACCCAAGGGCAGCGCTCAGCCGGGGCAGGGGCCATGGCCAGCCTCCATGCTCCAGGGCTTGAGCTGAGGTGCGGCTCCCTCCTCGGCCTTGTTGCCCCGTCGGGGTCCACGCGCCGCACGCGGTGTGCCGGGGGCTTCCACGGGGGCAGGAGCCAGCTCCGCGCGCGGTCCAAGAGCACGCACGGGCGGGTCTGCAGTGCGCGAGCAGCTCAGGCCGGGTCCCACGGGGCTGCCCGGCACAGGGGGGCGGGCAGGGGTCGAGCCCACGTTTGCACTGCTGACCCGGGAGCGGGACGGGCTCCTGCTGCCTGCCCAGACCTGGAACACAACCGCGGGTGGGCACAAGCAGGCTGGGAGCGAGTGTGGTGTGTGCCCCCTGCCCGCCACATCCCAGGACCGTGTCCAGCCCAGGTGGTGCCAGGCTGCCCCGTACCTGGACACTGCTCCCGCTGCTCTCAGCAGAGCAGGGCCGCGGCGAGGGGCAGAGCCAGCAGGCCCAGGCTGTGCAGCCTGAGACCGGCCCCACCGGAGCTGTTCCTTGAGAGCTGTCTTCGCAGCTCCCGGACCTCCTGCAGGTGCTGGTCTCTGGGGGAGGAGGAAAGGGGAAAGGCAGTGAGGGGAGGGCTCCTGGGGGGGCGGGGTGCCCGCGGCTGGCATGCACGGAGCGGGCACGGGCTGGCCTCACCTCTCCCGCTGAGTGTCCTGGAGCTGCTGTCTGAGCGCGGCCATCTCGCCTGCACGGGAGTTCAAGGGGGAGGAGGTGAGAGGCGCTGGCCTTGCGGGGAGTCGGCCCCACGTCTCTACACCCGGGCCTTCCTCCATGGACCCTTTGCTGCAGGACTGCCACCACCCCCTGCACCTCCGAGCCCTCC